CATGTTCCCCCCCCCTGAGCGTGATGACTATGGTCGGGCCCCGAGTGTGGGAGGCGCGGTGGAGCCTCGTAGCGCTGCGATGGCGAGGCTAGCGGCTTCCTCAGGCTTCGCTCCCGTTATTATGGCTGTAGCTGCTCCTCCTCTCGTCGGCAGGGGCTGCCTGGGGCTGGTAATGACACGTCGCTGCCCCTTGGGCTGGGAGCTCAGACTCCGGCTCCACAGTCAGGCCTTGGGTGTAGCGGGTGCATTTGAGAAAGATGAAACGTAGGAATCCAATGCACGGTTTCTTGGTCCTTATCTTATTGAGTCTCGTTTCTGAAAGGTGCACGATGTAACTCGGGGCCGGTGGGTCCCCGGAATGTAGCGTTGGGAGGGAGCAGCTTCCTGCGGGCAGGTGCCAGAGGATGGGAAGCGGGGTAACCAGTTGAGCAGGCAGGGATGGTGAAGTGAGAAGCTAAGTGGGGCCCTGGCTGGTTTGGCTCAGTGGATGGAGCGTCGGCCTGAGGACTGAAGGGTCCTGGGTTTGATTGCAGTCAACGGCATGTACCTTGGTTGCGGGCACATCCCCAGTAGGGGATGTGCAGGAGGCGACTGATCAATGTTTCTAACTCTCTATCCCTCGCCCATCCTCTCTGTAAAAAAAGTCAATAAAATATGTTTTTTTTTAAAAGAAGCTAAGTGGGGAAAGGAACGTGTATAGTATCTCCAGGAAGGATCTGGGGAAAGAAAAGGAGAAATGAGACAGGAAAAGACGACCAAAGGTTTGCTTATCTGGGCTTTATGGAAGTCCCCGCTATGGGTTTCTTTTCTAATAAGTGAAAGGACATGGTTGAGGGCTTTGTCATATTGACTGATAGGCCTAGATCCCAGAATAATAATTCGTGAGAATTAAGATTATGGAGTTATTTCTTGGTTGCCTCGAGGCTGATCGTGCTACAACATGTCTTGAAAGGACAAAAATCCGTCTTGTACGTCTTTGGATTCTCACAATACCTGCATATCATCCTCCTCCATGTAAACGGTTATTTTAAATATTTTGGAGACCAAGAAAGAGAAAGAGAGGGAAAGTTACTGATTAATTGTGTTTTCAACAACAAAAAAAGTTAAAATTTGTTCTGGCGGTCCAGACATTTTAAAATCTCTGATGAAACCCCTTACACGATAACATTACACAACAAAAAGGATAACAATAATTCCCCACCATCCAGCACGTTCCTTTAGGAAGGGTTCGGGAAGACTGTGTGAGTGAGTTGTCTAGAACAGCTGCAAAAATACCTTTTACCCACCTTCACCTGCCACCCCCTTCCCCCATTCAAAACTCTAAGAAGGATTGGGATAAAGGTGTAGGAAAGAGTATTCAATAAAGCAAGAAACCTCATTTTTTTTTTAATTCTGAAAAGAGCAGTAAATTCGCTACAGTCCCTAAATTAGTACTAGGGCATAGGTCTAATTGAATCAAGAAATAACCTGATCAGCAGAGGTCACCATGAGTCTCAGACTTGCAGAAGGATCGCTTTGTGAAAATGTAGGACCAAGAACAGAATTTCTATGGCTGTGTGCTATATTTTTCTCTGGCTACAAGAAAATTTAAGCTTCATCTAAGAGATTGGACGTGATCTAAATGTATGCTAAGTGCCTATAGTAGTGTTATTTATACTTGCCAGGTCATCATAAACTTAGGGGCCTAAAAAGTAGCAATCCTTTGCTTACCTCACAAATACGCATTTTGGAGAAGGCTCGATGGGACAGCTTATCTTTGTACCGCATGACATCAGCTGGGGCTGCTCAAAGTTGAGGCCAAGGTCTGGAACCTGAAAGCTTGTTCACTCACATGTCTGGAAATTAATGCTAGCATGTTGTTGGGACTCGAGCTGGGACTGGCCTCTCTAGGTAGCTGCCTGTCTTCCTCACAGCCTGGCAGCTACACTCCGAAAGTGAGTATTCCAGGAGAGACAAGAGGACACGACAGAAGCTGCATTGACTTTTATGACTTAACCTCAGAACTCATATGACATCACTTCCACTAGATTGTATCAGTTGAAACAGTAAAAATCACATTTAAGGGGAGAGGACATAGATCATACCTCCCAAGGGGAGGATTGTCAGTCATACTGTAAAACGAGCATGTGGGATGAGACACGTTGCAGTCATTTAAAGAAAATATGTCAAACGAAATCCTTCAAAAGGTCCCATTTCTGGTATATTTCTTTGGGAATCCTTCAAAAGGTCCCATTTCTGGTATATTTCTGGTATATTTTTTTAGTGAAGAGGTAAAAAACCACAAAAATGAATGACAGTTCATCTCAATTACTTATCATGTACAGGTGCTCCATGGATATGAGCTGGTCAATAGTAACAGCTGACAGCAATCTGATACACAGCCATGGCTGAAGGCAGGTGATTAGGACCACCCGCCAACACGTTTATGTGCTCGCTAATTTTTATACAAACTTTCTGGAGATACATTTAAAGCCGATAATGGGAAATGGAGTAAAAAATAACTAACCTCTGTCTCAGATAATGTTATCAGTAACGTTCTTCTCCCATAATAAACAGGATAAGAAGGCATTCTCCCAATTTAAAAACACCCTATGTTCCCAGTTTTTAAGTTAGTTGTTTAGCACTCAGGATCCATTTCCCTGTAGAAATAATAAACATGGTAATAGCTTTCCCAGGCAAGATAGGGGCAAAAAGAGGGAATGAGGGGCTCTACGGATTAAGGATTCCCAGGGAAGTCCTACTTAGTCTGTACCTCTCCCTGGAGGCCTGCCCCCTTCAGTCTTTTTAAAGAGTTACTTCTCTTTTCATCATAACAGTAGTTTACTCATTTAACAAATGTCAATACCCTTGTGCTGGGAAGGCAGGAATACAGTGGTGTGGACTAGAATAGATTCTCATAGCTTTCAACAATCACCTGTTCCTTAATAATATACCTACTGGGGTTTGCTTAGGAAGTTTCCTTCTCATAACCATGGGAAAATAGGTACAAGATTAATTTTATGTGGCAACTTGACTGGTCTATGGATTGCCCAAATATTGAGATAAAGGTGTAGGTATAGGTCTAACGTTATCCTGGGTTTGTCTATGAGAGTATTTCTGGATGAGATTAACATTTGAGTCTGTAGACTGAGCAAAAAAGATTGCCCATTTTCAAACCTTTAAGACAGGTGGTCGTCCAACATATGGAAGAAACCAAAGTGCCCATCAATAGAAAAGTAGATAAAAAACTGGTACATATGTACAGTGGAATATTAGTTGGTTACAAAAAAAGAACAAAATCTTACCATTTATGGATGGACCTAGAGGTTATCATGCTAAGTGAATAAGTCAGAGACAAAGACAAATACCATGTGATTTCACTTATATGTGGAATCTGAAGAACTAAATAAACAAATAAAATTGAAACACCCTAGCCAGTTTAGCTCAGTGGATAGAGTGTCAGCCTGCAGACTGAAGAGTCCTGGGTTCGATTCCAGTCTAGGGCACATGCCTGTGTTGCGGGCTCAATCCCCAGTAGGGGGCATTCAGGAGTCAGCCAATTAATGATTCTCATCATTGATGTTTCTCTCTCTCCCTCTACCTTCCTCTCTGAAATCAATAAAAAATATATATTTTTTTTAATTGAAACAGACATATAGATACAGAGAACAGACTGATGGTTGACAGAGGGGAGGGGAGGGGAAGTGGGGCTGGGCGAAAAGGTTGAAGGGATGAAGAAGTACAAATTGGTAGTTAGAAAAGAGTCATGGGGATGTTAAGTACAGCATAGGGAATAGTCAACAATATTGCAGTAACTGTCTGGTGCCAGGTGGGTATTTGAAATATCGGGGGGGTGGAGGGGAATCATATTTTAAAGTATATGATTGTCTAACCACTATGCTAAAACTAAAAATATTTAAACTGTAATTGAAAAATAAAATTAAAAAATCAATAAACAATGGGTGGGCCTCATCTAATCAGTTGAAGATCTGACTAGAGCAAATGGACAATAGGAAATTTTTAAAAGCCTACTTCCTTCTCTATTTTTTTCTCTTTTATACTCCAATGGTGTAGTGATAGGTAAAATTTGTATATAGGTGCTAATTACAAGTCTTTACATACCTACAGAATGTAATAGGATCCATTTCTGTTCAAAAGAATTCCCAGATGTCCACTTTCTTGGGCATTTATTGAAGAGCAGGAAGGGGGTTAGGTAGGGGGAAGAAGAGATGAAATAGGATTTAGGATAATGCAAAGACCAAGCTGGTGGTAAAGAGGAGCTTCTGGGTTTTATTCCCCTTCCTTCTTCCCTTTCTTCATTGAAGGTCTCCTCCCCCTCCCGCCTGTACCCCACACCACACCCTCATATGCCCCTGCATGGCCTCTCACTAAAGGTGGAGAAAAGAAAAATGTTGGAGAAATGGTCATGTTTTGAGTTGTTAAGCCCAAGCAGCAGCATGCTGATAAAAGAGGGGTCATTATGGCCCCTGACTACCCATCTGGAATAAGTGATTCTATTTCCAAATGGCTGTTTCTATGCCTATATAAAAGACATAGATGGTGCTATGTAGGCATTCCTAGTGTTCAACAATATCTCATTCTCCGAAGGCACACAGAAGATGATTTTTTTAGCTGCTCTCACAAGTGGGCAGGGTCGTGCAACTATTAATGACTAATGATATGTGAGTAAAAGTGACAGATGATTTCTGGGCTATGTCAGTGATTCTCTACTCTCTGCTGCCCTACCATTGCAATGATGGAGGGGGTCTTGTGTTGAACTAGCAGATCTGAAATACTGAAGCAGCCTATGTTTCTGAGCCACCATATTCAGGTGAAGAGGGGGTCAGCACAGGCAGATGCCCTAGAGAGCCACCCTGACCCACAACAATTTTTTCTTATTGTATTGATTTAGAGAGACGGAGGGAGGGAGAGAGAAAAAACAAACAAACATCGTTTTATTGTTCCACTTATATGTGGATTCATTAGTTGTTTTTTGTATGTGCCTTGACCGGAGATTGAACCTGCAACCTTGGCATATTGGAACAATGCTCTAACCAACTGAGCTACCTACAACAAATTTTGTATGAGCAAGAAATAAACCTTTATTGTACTTAAACAACCAAGATTTGTGGAGCTGCTCATTATCAGAATAACACAGCCTATCCTGGCAGATACAGCTCAGAAAGAAAG